TCGCATTCGAAAATGATATAAGTGGCTGTTTCCTCCTCCTCATTACATAATCTGCAAATGGGATCATCGTTGTAGATACCCATGTTGTGTAGATGTTTTCTCAGATGCCAGTGGCCGGTTAGTAGTCCTACCACTCCTCTCAGTTTGGCCCTCTCCAATTGCAACAGTGTTTTTGCCAGTCTCGGTGAGGGTTGACAAGGAGGGTTGGGTTGGTGCTCAATAAAATAGAAAATAAAATAAAATACTCTTAAATCATAACAAATCAAAATAACTCTTTTATTAAAAACTGATCAATAGAATTAATTGTTCCTATAATAACTAACCAATTTAAAAGAAACTAATGACTATGGTTAATTAACATAATGAACAACTGTGTGGTGATTAGTGAACAAAACAAACATAAACGTAACTTTTTAGAAATAGTTCACATCAACAGAGATAAACACAGCAATAATTACAGAACAGACACGTGTACATTTAGTCGCAGCTACGCCAATATCATTAATCAAATTCAATATCGATAACATACATATATCATCACATCACACAAAACATATAATATAACATAAAAACATTCATCACATTCCACACATCAAACATTTTCACATAGTCTAATTTTTCAATAATTTAGCTTTCCTGTTCCTAATTATCCCCGTCTATATAATCCTGAAAGGATAATCTGGCCGAACAATACCAACGTTTTTTCCCATCGTCGGCTATTTTCACCTCAAAGAAACCGACTCCTTATACAAAAATGTCTTTCTATACCGACTTCCTTCTCCACCCCTTCAAAATCCAACTATATAAACATAAAACAACAAAATCTCACTGGCACTCTCAACACGACACACTATAATGGCACAATTACGCAGAAAACAAACACTTTGAGTGAGTAGAAATACTTTGATTGAATATAAAAAAAATTTTTTGCATATAAACTCACTTTTTCAACATCCTAAATGTATTTGTTAAATGTAAACAATGTTTGTAAATCCCAGACCCTGAAGATGATCTCAATAAAGATCGTGATGATCTCGATAAAGAAACCTACTTCACATCAGTCCGCATCTCACGATTTCCAAATAATAATGAACAAAACTAACAGAAATATAAATTTGCGCTCTGCGCAAGTTTAAAAGCTAACAGAAAAACGACATATGAAGCCTCGTATTAAAAGCACAAAACCTATTTTCGGTGACCCACTAGGTCTTTTCTATTCGTGTCCCGCTTCTAGGCCCTTGAGAGGGCTTTGCAGGTGACATTTTGGCTTTCTCCGCCTAGTGGCCGTGGCTCAGATTCCCCCACCGGAACTTAGCGGTGCCAATATGACACCCCCAGGATGGGCCACACGGAGGCGTCCGGCTGGAACATGGGGGAAGAGCAATATGGCTATCTCGGTAGCTATGGCATGATGTTTAGGCGTCACTGCTTACTAAGCAGGCCAGCCTTTTTGCCGCATTACAGCCTTCCAATATCTCAAGGTGGCCTTAAAGCCATCTGGTCTAGCAACGATCTCTTGCAATGAATTGATGTTAGCTACCTCGGTATTCGTTTCAAACAGCCATCTAGTTCGGGGGATGCTATACATTTCGCACCTTGATACAACGTGTTCAGCTGTCTCCTCGTGTCCTCAGGGGCATAATGGGCTGGTCTTTAGGCCAAATCTAAGCAATTTGGCTGAAAAGTCGCCATGCCCCGTTAAGAGTTGCGCTATGTAATGGTCCACATGGACATGCTTTGCTTCCAATCTCCTTGCTACGCTCGGGAAGATTTGGTACGTATATCTGCCTTTGGCTGACCTATCCCACCGGCACTGCCACTCCTCAAGCATCCATATGTTCGCATCCTGTTCATTGCTTATGGGGATAAGGCTGATGACCGTTTGCCACCTCCCAGGCAGCGGAAACTGCCCTCGCCTGCAGATCGAGCGGTGGCCTGCCGGCTTATTTTCGGTGACCCCTGCTGACGTTTTTGGTGTCCATCTGCCAGTTTTTAGGAGCCTTCTTTACCACCCAACGGTGAGACTATTGCAGCCTCGATTCCCCTTCCAGATATCCATGGCTTCGGCTACTCATAAGGAGGAAAACCCGGCGGACCGCCAATGTCCTCTCTCCTTCCATCGTCTTTGGCATCCTAGATAGATCGCTTCCTGATTCGTCCCGGACGGTGGAAAAATCATCCTCGTGACAGCCACGAATCCCATTCCGGAACTTACCACGATCCCTCAAGAATGTAGTCAGCTTCACACCAGGAGGAAAATCCAACGTAAAGCCGACACCTTTTCCCATTTCGTCCCCTACGGCCTGCCGGACTAGAGTAGTCCGTTGCCCTCTTATCATTACCTTCGTCCGTTCATTTTCCTCTCGGTTCGCGTTCCACGCCTCCGCTGTTTCCCTATTTTCTCTTATTATTTTCATTTTAAGCTAATATTTGTTGTACAAAACTCTTGTTTATATATGGTTAAATCAGATTATAAAGGAACCTGCCTATTTACGGCCTACTTACCGAACGAACCGCGATCAGTATTGGTCTATTGAGCATGTCTATTTTTTATCTATTGCTCCTTGTTAAGCTTAAGGCTTTTTAGCAGACCCAAAGCTTTTTCACGAACCCCCGTGTGTCCTTCAGGCCCTGGCTTTTTCTCTCACAGGATTGCGAAGACTCGTTTATATATGACCAACCTCCTGACTTGGCTGCTTTCTTTTCCTGGCTTTCCTCTCCTCTCTCTAAGGTAACACGATACTTTCCATTCCTGAGTAAGAGCTCAAACATTTATTTTAACCCCTTTTTTGTACTAAAAAGAAGGGGTAATACGAGTTCTATCTGAAAGATGGCTAAAGACTGTTGATCGTAAGTATTTTTAAAATTTTCTTTGACGCGTCAAATGCGGAAACGGACATACCAAAACTGTCAACGCGGAACTACGTAAACCAGAAATATCGGAATTTGACCAAACTACTGGTTCGACATCCTACAGACCCCAAAAGAAAATATCACAATACAAAATATTGTCTGTAGGGTGATCATGATTCCCTTGGACTGAGATATTATGTTACTGGGCCTTCTTATATGGTTTGTTTGATATTTATTCTAGCAAGGCTGTCAGTTAGTTTTCACCCTGATTATAACTGTGAAATTCCAAACAGCGTCTGATAGACAAAACCAGTGATTTAATGCTAGATGATTACCCTTCAAATCGCAAGGTTCAATCTCACAGATTATGTTCTAATAATGTTTTTTTAAATAGCACTTCCTGGATAAATAACAATTATGAAACTAATTAGCTCAACGTCAATCAATAAATAATTAAATATTCCTCTCACAGCAACTGTTTCTGCTAAACATTTTCTGATATCACGTTACACAATGTTACAAAGAGGAACAAAGGTTGTTAATTGTATGCTTTATAGAAACCGCGGTGTTATTTAATTTTTAAAATCTCCAGTGGCACGGATCCGACGTCCTAGTGAGAAGAAAGTGGTTTTATTTAATATTCTCTACTAAACAATTGCCTTAAAAACGCCTCCTATATTCTTAATTAAAATTTAAACAGTGAAATTACTTTCAATTTAAATGATTAATTCATAAAATAATTACGATCATTAATTTGCCTTGTTGTTTGCTAGATGAAAACATACTATTGGCCCCAGATTTTGTAAAAATTTAAATCTCTCAAGAAAAGTTTGTTTGTGTTTTTGACGTACTAGCTTGTGAGTTAAGTCATTAGGTAAAATGCGTAGTGCAATGGAGATTAACTTACGTTCTTTCCTTGCAATATTAAATGTCATTGATTTCTCAAAGAAACCAGAAATATTTATGAAAATTATGAAACTAGAGGTTTTGTACAAGGTTTCTGAAATAGTCGTTAATGTTATGCTAACGTCAACGTCAATGGTATTCAATCAACCTTGTTTCATTTGATTTTCTTAGTGTACTTAACCTTAACGCTCAGTAAATATAATTTTTTGTGCTTACACTGTCCGACGTTGATTGTTTAATAGACCTAAGTATTACAAATGAATGAAATAAACGTGAACAGATTTAGCCCGCACTTTATTGTCCCGCTAATATTTTTTTTATATGACCAATAGTGATAAATCTTTATCGGAAGTTATCTCAAATCTATGTTGAAAGGCCCCACTGGGTGAGGAAATTGCCGTTTGTTCAGAATGTAACGCATCTCCTGGCAGTCATTACGGTTGAAAAATTGTTTCCATTAATCCCGACATGTCTTAGGGCACGAGTCGGTTTGTCAAAGTCCATTCTAGATCGTTTTAAATTAGCAAGGCCCGAAAGAATAATAGCAAACGGCCCGCTTTACAAACCGCTTAAACGATTTTTGTCCGTTTTGCTAATTTCAATCCTATTCTTCTTTTAACCTAAAAACAACATTGAGGTCTAATAAACGGAAATATTATAAATAATTTTTATGAAAATGCAAATGGGCGTTTAATGATCAGATCTCACCTATGACATTTACCATTATATTATATGTGTGGTGAATAGTGACCGTTAATCGATATTTATTTAGAAATCGTGAGATGCGGTCTGCTGTGATGTAGGTTTCAGAAAAACATTTTCTTTATCGTGCCAACGTTTCGATCTTTATTGAGATCATCTTCAGGGCCTGGTATTTACAAACATTGTTTACATATTACAATTACATTTTGGATGTGGAAAAGTGAATTTATACAATGCAAAATATATTTTATATATTCAATCAAAAGTATTTCTACTCACTCAAATTGTTTGTCTTCTGTGTAATTGTGTCATTCTTGCTTGTCGTGTCGAGGCACTCTGATCGAAGATGATCTCAATAAAGATCGAAACGTTGGCACGATAAAGAAAATGTTTTTCCGAAACCTACATCACACCAGACCGCATCTCACGATTTCTAAATAAATTATATAATATATTTTTCCAAGAAAATAAAATTAACAATTAACTTATTAATTATGTAATAATGATTAACACAGTTTCTTTGTTTGGTTTATTCACAGGAACGATTTTGATAGTTTGGCTTTTGGGAAATACCACTGTCATCTGATCGCAAATTGCAGCAATACGATTTCCGCCATGACCTCTGAGATTTTAAAATCCCTATGTAAGTCGTTATTCCCTTGAAATTTTTTAAAATTAGTTTTGAAAGAATGTTAAATACCAAATGTCTCATGTTCAATGTCTTTCACTATTATTAAAAAAATGTAGTACATGACGGATGTTAAAATTTTAGAATTGAATCGTACATTTGTTTACCAACGTTCAAGACTTCAGCACGAACTATGGCAGCCGACAACTGGATTTCTGCAAAATTTTCTAGATTCTATTCATTAAGTCCTGTTTGAAAACTAAGCCCCTTAAGCAATTATGCAATTCTTCTCTAACAGTTCCAAAGTGTTGGTTTTTGAACACCTTCTTTGACATCTGGGAAATTAATAGCACAAATTTCTTATAGATTAAACGATTAAAACAAAAGTGCAATATCGTTTTAACAAGCTGTTTCACTTCAATCATCCACTGTTCTTCGCCGGGGTGGAATTATATTGCTTTTCCGATAATTTCGTCTACCGCGCGGATCATCACCCGATCTATCATTATTTTTTTTAAACCATTTCCTAAATTTATAACAATATTATTGGAACGTTTTTCTTTCTAATGGTTTTGTGAATACAATTATTTGATACATTTTTTTTACCGTCAAATCAAAAACTAAGATAAAAACATCAAGACGGTAGACCTGTCAGCTATTCTGTTAGGAAAAAGGGCTTCCGACATTTCCGAAATAATAGAGGCAAAACCGTTCTATACTGTTCATTTTCAAACTTTGAAATTATCTACCTCATTTTCCTATCTAGATAATGGTTCCTCATTAACCAGGTATTCATAATTATCCTCTTCTTCACTGCTTGCTGATGTTCCGTTGTTGGTTTTGCACCAGGTGGCACTGGTTCCTTTTAGATTTTGTGATGAATATATTTAAATTATGCTGAAATATTACTTGACTTTTCTGCCATAGTTGTATTATTTAATGGCCGCCTCAGCTTTACAAACAGAGCACCAAGAGAGCTAGTTCGCTTTCCTTTCCAAATAGGACGCTATGCTTCCAATTTCGCCGTTTAAATTTATGTTCATTGATTTACGTAGATTCAGTAATCTCAAGTTAGTTTTTTTTAACCGTCTCGTCAATTCTCATGTATTGTATTTTTTTCACTAGGGGGCGTTTTTAACTTAAATTTAACGGCTTGAGCACGGAGGAACGCGTTCCTTAAAATTGGTCTAAACTTTTTGAATGTTACTAACTTACTAAACAAGTCAGTATAGATTCCAAAATATAGCACAAACAAACATAGATTAAACATACATAGTAGTTAGACTCTTGGTAGTGGTTACATTTGTCCTGAACTGGTAGACTTAAATGAAACGTCTTCTGCATCGTTCTATCAAACAATTAATTAAGGTTTTTAGTTGAGATAAAAAAGTCAGTGGCAGGAGCGGGATTCGAACCCACGATCATCTACTTGAAGCTCTACCTCTTGAGCTACTAACTTCCCATCTCAACCCTATCTTTTGAATTTTCCCTCCTTTTTTGCCATTTTTCAATCCCGCTCTTTACACTAACTTTTTATCTCAGCAAAAACCTTAATTAATTGAAAGAAAGACATTAATTGGTCAAGCGGACTACGAAAACTAGTGAATTTAATAAGTAAAAATGAACTATACCTTCACTAAAAATCTCTGTGGCCATTTCATTTGTCGCCGAGAATCAAATAGATTACACGACATTTGAAAAATGGCAAAAAGGAGGGAAAATGTAAAAGGTGGGGTTGAAATGGGAAGTTGGTGTCTGAGTGGATCGAGGTCACGATAGCTCAAGTGGTAGAGCAGCAGCGTATCTAGCCGAAGATCGTGGGTTCGAATCCCGCTCGTGACACTGACTTTTTTATCTCAACTAAAAACCTCAATTAATTGAAAGATATTTATTGATCAAGCGGACCACGCAAACTATTGAGTTCTATCAAACATTTGTTCAAATCGGTGATAGCATTTATTTGTGTGTAAATGAGAATTTAGATTCCAAAATATCAAAGAAGCAAAAGGAAATTTTGTAATTGGTCTGTTGATGGAAGCCACTTTGGTCCTAAAGGGGTTATGTCCTGAATAAACGTTCTACTACGTTATTCTAGCGGACATTCATTATTCAAAGAGAGACTCCATTTTGTTCAATTTTGTTTCTATGTGAGGATCTAGATTCTAAAAAATCAAATAAACAATGTAATATGTCTTTTGTTAATGGCTACGATTGTTCTACGGTGTTTATATCTTGAATAAGGTTTCTGCTTTTTGCTAGCGAATACCCAATGTTTTCCAGTTTGTATATATGTGGGAATGTGGGTTCCAAAAAGTCAAAGGAACGAATGTAGATTTTGTAATTGGTCTTTTGGTTGTTCTTACTTTTGTCCTGTGCTGGTTGACATAAACGGCGAAACTTCGTTGTCCTTGCAGGTATTGTTCTAAATATGACCACTTGTTTGTCAATTTGTGAAGATCTAGAATCCAAAGAATCAAAGAAACAAATAAAAAATTTTGCAATTGTTGCTAGATAGTAGCCAATTTGGTCCTTAAGTGTTATGCCACGAATAAGATTCCTTTCTTGTTCAGATATCCCATGTTTGTCAGTTTCTTGTAGTTGTGTATGCATGTAGATCCCGAAAATTAATGAAGCAAATAAAGATTTTGTAATTTGACGCTTGATAGTTGTCACTTTCCTCCTGAGGTTGTTCCTGAATAAGTTGCCTTCTGCGTTCTTTCAAGCAGTCGTTATGTGTGGTCTAAAAATCGATGCTAATTAAGGTTTTGAAATTTGGCTCTCGTCGGTTGCCAACTTTGTCCCTTAGGTGGTAAAGTGATCCCATGGTTGATAGGTTTGATGCTAGCTACACCAAAGATCGTCTATTAGGTTCACTACATTGAATCAACGAAGATCTCGAAATACCTTGACTGTTGAAATTTTGTAATTGGTTTCTTGATGGTGACCACATTTGTTCATAGTGTCAGATACTATATTCGTCTGATATTTAAAGGTCTTACACTGCCTTGGCAAGTTACTATTAGAAGTGAATTCTAAAATTATCTAATTCCTTCTTGTAGCACTACTATCATTATAAAATCTTAGTTTTCCTGACATTCTTCGTTTTAACCGTTGCTTTCTTTAGTAATATGACAACACACTACCCATTGTAAAGGTGCATTCATACATTCTATACTTACTTTCTAATCACACATCTATATACTACTTCTTGTCTGTTTGTGTGTCCTCAAAAATTTCAAAAAGTGAAAGAAACAAATAAAGATTGCATAATGATCAACATCGAATTTTGAAATAAGAGGAATCGTCTAAAATGAGAGAGGAAGTTTGAATAAAAATCTCCTCTTAACCCATTTGAAACGGAAGTATCGTCAATTGTTCTATGCTGAATGAAGCCTGTCATGCCGTCCGATTTAACGACTCTTTCAATTTTCTCATCGCTTTAATTTCTTGGAGGGTGAAAAGACAATCCATTGCGTTTAAGAAACAACCACAAAGGGGCCAGGAGTTGGAGTCGCTCGTTCTGATCGTCATTTGTTATTAGACCAAGCCGTAGAACTTTTATTTAAGAATTTTGCAAGCTGCACTTATATGGAAAAAAACTCGGGCGTTATCCACGAAGAATGTTTATGAAGTCGTTCTCGCCTAAGCGATACCGGGGACACCACGTTTAAGTAGGTACAAGAAAAATCTTTCAAGGGATATTATTTAAGTAATCCGATATATTTTCGCTCTGAGTTTCCCTTTCCAATAACCGGAAGCCAGTTAAGCCGTTGTTGACCCTCCAGGACCATAATTGAGCCACCAAAAATCATCTTTTTGTGAAAATCCCTTCTTTTAGATTTTAACGGCGTCGGCTTTTTTTACTGTTTTAAGAATTAACTTTGGCGTTAGCCAACTTAATTTGTTTTAATAAGCTAACAAATGAATTATCAAAAAAACCAATCCCGTCTATTTCTTACATATTTATACAAAACTCTTATATGTCCCACAACATATAAAAAGATTTTAAACAAATCTTCAATGGAAAAATCCTTTAATAACGTAAGATCAAGGCTTAAACTAAAATAATCTCAAAGACGTTAGTTTCGTCGATGTAGACAACCTTCTTCGAGGAGGGTGCGGTGTTGAAAAACATTTCTTGTCAAAATACTTTATATGCCAATTTTCCTTTTAATAGAGACGGACGTTGATGCGACACCTCAGATCTCATTTATTCATCAATATCTCACGCCATGACACTTTACCAGATAAAATCGGAAAGCCGTCGTTTATCACTTTTTAGTCGAAGCTTCATTTATAACGCAGTTGTACAGTCTGGCAACAAGAGTAGCCTTTTTTAGCGAGTTCACGGTGCAGTATACTGATATTTGATCTTCTTCTGCTTAATTAATAATTATTTAATGGTGGTCAATTGGTTACAATTTTAGCAATAAATATTTCTGAAAGATTAACGTAAATATATTACATAATATATAATTTTTTTACATCCTACATGTATTTGTAAAATTTAAACAACGTTTATAGATCCAGGCCCTGAAGATGATCTCAATAAAGATCGAAACGTTGGCACGATAAAGAAAATGTTTTTCTAAAACCGACGTCACACCAGACCGTATCACAATCTCCAAATAATTATTAAATATGTTATTTATTTGATTTTATAATACAATAAAAAAAACCGGACACACGTATTTTGTTATTTATTTCGAACTATAGATATTTTTACCGTTATTTTAATTACAACGTACTTACATGAGTTTTAATTAAAAAACATTTAATTATGATGGTTTGAAAGAAAATTTACCAAAATACCGGAATATCAATTAGTGATAGAAAAAAATTGTTAGCTAAATTTTTATCCACCACTAAATGATTTTCCGATGTTTTGTTTAGTAAATTTTTGTTTAAATCATCACAATTAAATAATTGTTATTAAAATTTATGAATTTCTGATTTAGCTTAATTTGGTTTACATTAAAAAAAATTAAATTCACTAATTTCGTGGTCCGCTTGAC